CGTTGTACCTCTGCGTGTTTGCTCCGCGGTTCGCCTTATGGTCTACATCTCTGCTAGTTCCTGTAAAGGAGGAATCCACGATGAGATTGAAGGTTGAAAAAGGGAAAGCTTACCTAGCGGAAAGCGTGGCGGACCTTCGAAAGGGTGACTACATCGCAATTCGCAGCGAAAGACCAGACAATCTAGCATTATCCTCATCGCGGCGCTATCGGCGCGGTACGCCCTCAGATTGGCTAACCACTCCCCGCAGGTCTCCAACTGTCCAGCAGTTCAGCGTTGGAGAGGCCACACCGGAGAGTAGCATCGACGTGAAAATCAACGGGCTAGGAAGAGTTCCCATTTCTGGGCCCTCTCTCATGGTTTTTTTCTCATCGGGGCACTACGTAGTGATTACCTCTAACCTGTTGGTCTATTGGGCTGCCTTCTGATCGTTAACTCCAATTTCGAGGAACTTTCGAAGATAATCGGACATACATCTCTGTTAAATGAGATTTACGCAAAAGTGACTAACAAAAAGAGTGGACTGAATTTGCGATGGCTTGCCACTTCAAACAGCGGCGTTATCAAATGGTCTCAAATAGAAAAACATTTCCATTGCCACTCATCCGAAATGTACACAAAAGGTCACTCTGGCACCACAAGCATCGCTTAGCGATTCTGTAGTGACCAACCGAATTCTAAAGAAATTTGAAAAGACCTTCTTCCCAAAAGTAAACACAAATTCTTGAAGAAGATCCATGCCATCTTCCAGAGGCAGGTTCTTGCCTTCAGAACTGCGGTAACTGTTTTGGCTGTTGGTGGTTGTTGCTTCTCAAAATAACAAAAGACTTTAAAAAACTATAAGTTTGGCCCTCTTGAAACCTAGGCATTCTAAGGAATGCGATATATATAACATAGAGTGTGGAAATGCGCGAAGCTCGTTTAAGATGGCACGGTCACGTTCTCCACACGAATGGCAGCATTGTACATAAGATCAACATCGATCATGAGATGCCCGGAAGCGGTCTGAAGGTCGCCCAAAGCAGAGCTGACGTGATACGCTGCATGAGGACTATAGTCACATAGCACCCACCCTGATCAGGCATTTACATGCACAGGACGCGATTAAATACTTAGATTCTCTCCTTGAGTGAGATAGAGGAACTTATGCACAATGGCGGCGGTACTTTCGCGACAATGGAGCTAACGCCTTAGCTTGAGCGCCGCAACCGCTGCCATTCTTATCAATCGCAGCATACGTAACGTCTGCGCCCTCGCGCTGTCTTGCATTTTCCCTGTCCTCACGACGCATAGTCTTTTCGTCGTACTGTCTGTCGTACCGTCAACCTTTCAGAAGGGTGTTTTTCTTTGTTTTTTCAACACTGGTGTTCCTATTTGAATTTCTCGCCTAATATTGAAACAACATAACACACTGATTTGATCGTGAAGCCCATTAGTCGGGAAAAAGGCGCAGTTCACCAGATTAGCGAGCCTCGCCTCGAGCGGGGTAACTGCTGAAGAAAAACAAATAGTTAAGTTACCGAATTACACTTCTACAAAATCTTGATTGCCTCTATTCTCAAGACATCATTACCCAATCGAATGGCGGACAGCAGCACAGGAAATTCCAACATCCCATAGCTTTACAAGCTTACGCAACTTTTCTCTCAACCACTTTCCTTACTCCAAGTATACGCAACTAATTTTAACATGTCATGAAAAGGTTCTGCGTCAGTTTTGCGATTTTTTTCGCCATTTCCTTGTGTTCTTGTTCTGTCATCTCCAAGTCAATGAGGATCTCCTGAGAGTATCTACATATTCACAAAAGTTTCTCTGAGGGATTGGTGAAGCAGACCACTTTCTTCTTTTCGAGTTGTTTGTTTACATACGTTTTCGTCCCCTAATTAGGTTTAGGTGAGTGTCCGGATCTTTCTTTTTGAGATTGTTCCTTCTAACTCGGGCAGAAACTATGTGCTCTTCCTGGTCTAGATGTTTGTTCAGTCATTCCTGTCAATTTATGAGGAGTGTGCTGATAATAGTTTTACGGCTACCGCATCAGTGAAAATGCATAAGAGGGACTGCAGATATTCCGTCATTTGAGAACACTTTGGGCACAATATTGACTAAGGGCTATCAAGTTCACAACTATTTTGCAAGAGAACTGCTCCATTCAGGTTATCGGCTTCTTTTTTTTTGCTTGCCGCTTTGTGTAATCTTCACAATTAGACTATCTTTCAAAACGCACTTATCTCTTATGAATAATTTTCTGGGGTAGGCAAGCTCTTTTAGAAGCCAATACGTTTTCTACCTCAACCTTCAAGATACTGATATTGGTTATATCGAAGGGGATTGAAGCTTTTGACAACACTGTAGGCCAACCGTAATCGCTCTAGCTACTACACAATCTCTTCAGGCAGTTGACGGAAGACAGTCCTAGAGGCAGTAGCTCGAACTACGCAAGATCCACTCCAGACATCGTTTTAGAATGTCCATGATCCGTCGGAAGTCCAAGGTTGACATCGAACCGTGCACCATGGAAAATATCCTGATGCCGCTGAGTTGAAAGGCTGTTGTGCAGCTAATCATTTGAATGGAATAGCTCTTCTATTTTCAGATGGGATCATTTGGTTCAGATTTAATTCAAAAATTCAATTAACCCTTTCCGGACCGCCTGACACCCATGGGTGTCAGGGACCATTTTCCCGAGATAAGGTTTTTCGACAAAAACTTTTATGTTGTCACATATCTATGTAAGATACTCATGTCGTACGTACGAAAAAACCTAGACTTCAACCTCAAACTAGTCCCTAAAATAACTAAATACTAAATGGATGTCCACTTTGAGCTCAGAAAAAACAGTTATAAATCATTTTAAAACTCTTCATACAACAGAATTTATGACACTACCTGCATGTCGTATCTGATGCGATTAAACTCAAACGTTTCGGACACTTCCCGCTCCCTTTTCCCCCATTACAACTTATTTTGAGCAGTTTTCATTCCTGCCTCCCTTTTATTTTCCTTTTTTTTGAATATAGGTCCAATATATTTATTTATGCTAGCACGCGCGCCGCCACGGCAAAAGTGCGCGGTCCGGAAAGGGTTAAGCAAAGTTAATCAGGATTGGGGCCGAGCTGAACTTTTAATGGCTCTTCCCTCCTCCCCTTCAAACGAGGGTGGCTAAAAATAGCGACGACAAGGACCCTTCCGCCTATGTTGCAGATCATCAAACATTCCGTCGCACTGGGTGGCACTGCTGATGAACGTTTTGCGGCAAAATATCTCTAGGTCCTGTCATAAGTACAGTCATAGATCATAAGTCATAAGTAGAAGCAGATCGTCCTCCACTGCCCTCAAAATATGACGTCGTCTTCCATCAGCGTTGAGCTTAAGAAGAGCTGCCGTAATCGTTCCAATCTAAGGCTGCTACGAAACTTCGTTAAGGTTCACTGGTATATGCCTTCCAGAGACAGTAGCTCTAGATATGCAAAACACCTTGCTACCAGCGTTCAGATAACGTTGTTGTGATCATGATCCGTCTAGGTCCAGCGGAGCCTGAATCATGCGCAAGGTTCCCATGGCAAATTCTTGTGATGTCCTTGGCACAGAAAACTATGATTAAGTTTATTGATTTAGTATTGGGATGTGCTCTCGATGTAAAGACCGAGCTACGCTGGAAAACCAACCATCTTCAACATTAAGTTGAAATTGGCCATGTGTATGCAACGAAAGAAGGAAGAACCATGAGAAACGGCCCAGAACCCGAGAAATGGGACCCCTTCCTTGCCCGTTGATTCGAGCATTGATGCGACTCTCATCGCTGTGCCCTCTTCAACACTACGCTCTCTCAGCTATCTAATCACTCGCCACGTATTGAACTGCGGCGAGTGACAGGAGTCGGTGGGTGTACACCGTCAACCGCGCCGAAGAGGTGAAGCCATGTTAGGTCGCCGAGGTCAAATCTTTCGCTGGGATTGCGTGTTGGTCAGCACCCTCAGAAAGCCACCTGTCTCATGGGCCATTTCCTCCTTCTTCGACCTTCGTTCTTATCGTGAATTCGTCCTTTAGGTTGGGATCAGCCTGATTGAATTCAGCAACGTGTGATTAATGCTGTCTGAAATGTGGAGTGAAGTGTCAATTGATGAGAAAATGCCGACAGCACCACAGCGATATCGAAGCCTGCAATCTGAAGGCCCTGGCTGCTGTGTAATCCAGCTTCTTCGTTCGCAAGCAACGGTCAAAACTAACCTTTGCCCACTTGTCCCCTCTCCACCACGAATCAGAATCAACGCGAAAGTAACATGCCCAGCTCCCACATTTTGAAATTACAGTTGGAAGCTGCGTTATGGCAAATAACCCCATTCTTGCACAAATAATGAGAGAGTTAATTACCTGATCAAACCCTGTAGCCCATCACTTATGAGGGGACATCTAAGGAACAGTTTTTAGAAAACTTTTTATAGTTTTTTTTTTATCACAGAGCACTTAAGCTTTTTTGAAGAAGAACAAACTTCACTCTGCGTGATGACAAAAAAACTCTGATGTTGATTATCTTCGTGGAAATTCATGAGGTGCCAAGCACAAAATGTCGTGACGTCATGGTAATTCGGAGTTCAGGAACAGTTGACTGTACATGCATGTGTGCGGAATACCTTCACCAGGACTACCTCTGGCCACTTCTATCAATGGCAACAACATTTCTTCTATGTCGCTCACCTTATTCTATAGATTGTTTCGCTTCTATTCTGCTAATTTAAAGGCTTTAACCAACCTTATTCATTACGCTAATGCGTGGCCGCTTCGAAGCGCTTCATTCCATGACCCACCTTGTTTCCGCCCGACCTGCCTTTGACCGTCCATGGAGTGTGTCTTTGGGTTTTAAATTTTTGTACGTCGCCTCTAGTTGTTACAACTGACGTGATCATCTGGAAAAAGCGCACAGAAGCTTTCCGTGAACGGTTCTTTCGAGAGAATCAAACCGCTTCCAGATGTGCACAAAATTCTGTACTTGACATTGCCTATCATCATTGGCTCAGGGGCAAAGCGTATGTCTAGTAAACAAAAGGTCGCTGGTTCAGTTCCATTATGAGACATTACTGTTCGTTGTAGTACAATTCTCATTGTTCGTTGTCCTAATTTGACTATTCGTTGCTGAAAACTGGGCAGAATTTCTGCAAATAGGATCAGAGTCTCCTCTCTAGCCGAACTGAGATTTCACTTTTTCGTCATCCAAGTGATGTGTTATATAAATGTATGTCTACAGCTTAATTCAAGGAACATATTGAAGAACGCTCATGGACGTGATACGATCAAGGACACGCTCCTAAACATCAAAATAATGAGACAATATACTAGGTCAACCTGTTCCGAAAGGTTCCGGCAAGGGTGACGCGTATTTGATGTGAAAACCTCTACAGTCAGCTAATTTGATATTTATTGGAAAACAAACTCTAGTAGCAAAACCTCACAAATGAGCACGAACATATCTCCAATAAGTAAATGCAAGATAACCAAATGGGGTACAAGAATGGGAACTGTTTGCACAGGGAGCGGAAGTCAGCACAGAAGGGCAGTGGCCGCCCACACTGCAAGCTCATGCAACAAGAGGAAGAGCTCCGGATACCAACTCAGTAGGTCCGCCAACCTGCCGAAATCCAACCTCCATGGCAGAAGTACTAGCGAGGGGAGGGAAAAAAATAATCAAGGCTCAAAAGTAAGCAACGAAATCAAACTAAAGTATATAAACATAACAGTGGCATAAATTCAATCAAGGCATTGAACCTAGAATATGGATAAATGGAATCGCTTCTCTGCCTCATCAAATTGAAAGTGCTTAGTTTCATGTTCTCAGAACCAACCTTGAGAAATCATGATTTTTCTCCACTTTTCTCTGAACGAGCTGGAAGAGCTGAATTTACGACAGAAGGTGGCAAATCATTCCAAAGGGTAATAATTCGTTGAGTGAAGGAGCTTCCGGAATTCGGAGGAATTAGTTTTCTCTCTTAAGAGCCTGTAGTTATGACCTCGTGTGCGCCCAAATAGTAGTTGACTTTTTGAAGAGAGCGTCACAATCCAAATCTACGAGACCAGCAAAAACTTTATAAACGAAATCGTAATCGAATAGCTTTCTTCTCATTTCTAGGGAGTCTTCGTTGATATGTTCTCAGCCTGTCTTTGTGTGACATATGAAAAATTCCCTCGCGAACAAAAATGAGCTCGGTAAATTTGGACTGAACATTCTCAATGAGCTCAACCATATTGCGGG